TCTACGTTTGCATAATGGGCAAATGATCCGATCAGGTGAATACGGCGAGTGGTTAATGGTTAAAAATCTGATTTTTTGGTCAAATAATCGATTCTGGGCAATTTTTGGTAGTCAGTCAATTTGTGCGGAACAAACCGTGCACACACCTGTCGTCCCAAATGTTCGGTCAAAATGCGATAAATCGTTGTTTTGGAGATGTTCAATTTCATTTCCATCAATTTCAATGATGATTTCGGCTGATTTTTGATTAATTCACGCACAGTTTAGATGGAATTTTCGGTGATCACGAATTTTGATTGGCCCACATGTTGATCGTCATTTCTGTCCTCACGACCACTTTGAAAACGTTGAAACCACTCGTGCATTCTGCTACGGGATAGGCAATCATCGCCATAAACTTGTTCTATCAATTGAAACGTTTCGGTAAAAGTTTTACCAATTTTAAAACAAAATTTAATGTTGGCTCTTTGTTCGAAGCTCATTTTTGCACCGATAACACAAACATACTGACACTTAAAACGCAATAACTTCACTTCCAATTGATGAAATGTCATGAAATTCTCACTGGACCATCGATAAAAATAGCAGATTCTAACACATCAGTCGACATATAGATAGCGCCACCAGGGGGCGCTAGATTCAAAAAGTCCTATTTACTTTCGAACGCACTTTGTATATATTACAAATTACAAAGCAATTGCGTCTATGTGAATGTATGTATATGTATATATGTCTATGCGCGTATATTCGTGTCTGTGTGAGCATGTTTGCAATCAACCGAGCATCACTAACAGCTGCGGGCAGCGCTTGGACAGCAAATATATTTATGGCTTAACTTCTTGTTAAATCGATCTATCATAATGAAAATTGGCATACGGACACATAATCACTAACTGAGGGTAATTACCACATTTGATTTCGAAATTCCAAGAATTACGAGAGTTATGGAAGATCCCTAATTGCAAGGAAGAGGGGAGAAAGAGCGAAATTTCAAAATACACAATTTCTGCTTATTCACAAAATGCATCTTGGGCTAAAATTTGGTACTCCTACGGACAGAAAGACAGACAGACTGTCTGTTAAATGAGTTAGATGGACTCATCTTGTCATGCTGATCAAGAATTTATATACTTTGTGGGGTCTGCCACGTTACATACATTCGCACAAAACTTGTATAGCCTTTTACCCTTAGGGTACTGGGTATAAAAATATATAAAACGAATAGTGTAACAGAATACATTACCATCAACATTGTCCCCATGCGTGACTCTGTGTTCGTGTATGTTTGCAGTACAGAGTTGAGCGGGCATAGCATGGGCAGAGATTACACTTATGGGTACAACTTTCTTCAAAATTGACCTATCATGCTGAAACTTGGCATACATCCCCATAAGCACTAACAGGACGTAAATGCTTTTATTTGAATTTTCGAGTTAAAAATTCCAGGAAGTACAGGAGTTATCGATAATCACTAATAGCGGAGAAGTCGGGCATGCATCAGAAAAAGACAAAATCCTATCCTATCTCGGACTTAGGAGCATCTAAATACCAAGTTTGGTTATTTTAGCTTTTATACTATTTGAGATCCTTGCGTTCATACAGACATGGCTATATCGACTCGGCTTGTCACCCTGATCAAGAATATACGTGGTCTGTTCAAAAAAAATGTATTTTTTGAATTCTTTTGAAAATCATTTATTTATTTATCAATTTCCAACTTGTCCCCAGCAATGTCCCTCAGATATTGTGCACTTATGCCATAGCACCTATAGCTCCCTGCGACCAATGAAAAGAAACCTTTTAGCCACAATTGATGAGATAAAATCAAAATCGAATAACGAGCTGATGGCCATATCGAAAAGTGCATTTCAGAAGTGCTCCGAGGATTGGAGAAAACGCTTTTCACCTTTTCTTTGGACCATATGGAGCAACTCTCCCCAAACAGCAAACGATTCCCATTGTGGAAAGCTAAATCAGGCGTATGTCCACCAATCGAGAGTGAATCACCATTACATACACAAAGAGGAAAGTGGGCTCGCAGCAAAGCAGAGAAGGCAATTCTATTTGCCGCCCATTTAGAAAAAGTCTTCAAACCACATCCAGCAACAAATAGCTTTGTGCTCCCACTAACAATTCATCTTGAAGATACCACGCCTATCGTATTCCAAGCAGGAGAAGTTACAAGTGTCATTAAGGGCCAAGTTTCAAAACAAAAAAAAATCTACGTATCACGACTTAATTTCCCCCAAATCATTGAATTTCCAAGCTGTGCAGTATATTTTCTCACCATCATTTTCAACAGCATGATGAAATGGGGCTAATATCCTCAACAATGGAGAAAATCTGTCATCACAATGATCCATAAACCCGGATAGGACAAGTCTCAGCCATCATCATAAAGACCTATCAATCTCCTACCGTGCCTATCGAAGATATTCGAAAAACTACTTCTGAATAGCATCAAACAACACCTACACAGCAACAACCAATTTGGTTTTTGCGAAAAAACATGGAACCATTGAACAAGTCAACCGAATAACCTATGAGATACGAAATGCATTTGAAAAACGATAGTATTGCTGCGCTGTTTTTCTGGATGTCGCCCAAGCCTTTGACCGCGTTTGGCTGGATGGCTTAGTTCACTAAATCAAAATACTACTTCCACAGACATTTGTTGATGATACTGCCATCCTAAGTCGCTCCAAGTGCCCAACAAGAGCTACAGAACTTTTATCATCTCACCTCGTGGCCATAGAAGAATGGCTAGCAGACTTGCCCATACATGTAAACGAGCAAAAGTGCAAACATGTAAAGGTGACATAAATAAACAAACTTGTCCTCCATTGTCACTAAACTACATCAATATTCCACAAAAAAAAATGTAACTTAGCTTGGTGTCCATTTGAATAGACGGCTTACTTAGCGCAAACACATCGAAGCGAAGAGAGATCAACTGAAACTAAAGGCTATTAATCTACATTGGCTTATAAACGTCCGTTCACCGGTAAAACTGGAGTACAAAGTACTATTGTACAATGCAGTTCTCAAACCAATTTGGACATATGGCTCTGAACTATGGGGAAACGCTTCCATTAATAATTTAGAGTTAATCGAGAGAGCTCAATCGAAGATACTGAGAACCATTACTGACATGAAAATATCCGGAAAGATTTAAATGTGGGATGAAATCGCCAATGTGAAAGCAAAGTACCAGCTGCAGCTTCGGCAGGCTAGCCATACACGACTCCGAGACACGAGACCCACCAACCCAGCATTAACAGTTAGGGCCGTAATTCAAATATTTAATTGTAATTAATATATTAGGGTAAGATTTGACTACTTATCGCAAGTATCCGTGAGAGAAGATTCAATAAATAAATGAAACTGAACAAAAAACCTTTTCTTTTGAACAGACCACGTATATACTCTGTGGGGTCTGGAACACATCCTTCTGTATGTTACATACAAATACAAATACCAAGTACTTACCGAATGCTCAAGGCCTGGGGCATTCAAGTGTTCAAAATTGTCGTACAATGCGCTATTCGTTTAACAATATCACGCAGCAGCTTTCAATATACCGTTGCGAAATCCATGAGGCGACCTAAGCACTGTTTTTTCGTTGTTTACTTGAAATGTACAAAGTGTATTCCAAAGTAAACAGGACTTTAAAAAAAAAAAACAGAACAGAATGGTTTTTTCGGCAAAATCAATTTATTTTATTCAAAATAGTCTCCTGCTTCAATACAGCTTTTTGCACGATCCAAAAGCATGTCGAACGAGTATTTTAGTTCGTTGGCCGGTATGGCCGCCAGTATGCCGGTGCAAGCCTTTTGAATGACCTCTACGTCTGCATAACGCTTTCCTTTCATGGGCAAATGCATTTTTGCGAAAAGGTAGAAGTCGCACGGTGCCATATCAGGTGAATATGGCGAGTGGTTAATGGTTAAAATGTGATTTTTGGTCAAATAATCGGTCACAAGTGTCGATCATCTGAGCAATTTTTGGTCGTCAGTCAATTTTTGCGGAACAAACCGTGCACACACCTTTCGTCCCAAATGTTTGGTCAAAATGCGATAAATCGATGTTTTGGAGAAGTTCAATTCCATTTCCATAAATTTCAATGATGATTTCGGCTGATTTCGGTAACAGTTTTACCAATTTTAAAACAAAATTTAATGTTGGCTCTTTGTTCGAAGCTCATTTTCGCACCGATAACACAAATATACTGACACTTAAAACGCAATAACTTTACTTCCAATCGATGAAATGTCATGAAATTCTCACTGGACAATAGATAAAAATAGCAGATTCTAGCGCACCAGGGGGCGCTACATTCAAAAAGTCCTATTTACTTTCGAACGCACCTTGCATATAAAGCTGCGGCTATAAAAACTAGCACAGCTAAAAATATCTTTGCTTTGTACTTAAATTTTATCATGTTTGCCAGCAACACTGCGTAATTATTATCGACAAGCCCGACACACCAATTTTTCTGTTTTTACCGGCTCATATGACCTACAAGTTCACAAAATCTTCTTGATTTATGGTTAGCTAAGTGTCTGTTGGCTTGGTCTGCCAAGAACATATGTTTTTGACGGATGCTAGGTATTGAGTCGGCAAGCGAATTGTCTACGTGTTAGAACATTGAGTTGAACCAACGTCGGAAAAATGGAAAATATTGCATAAAGATTGGGCATAAATATTACCATGGATGGTGGTCACATCAAATAAAAATGCTGCGTTAGCTCTATCGCCAGTCCCTATAAATCGCAATAAAAACTGAAAAATAATGTAAACTATCGCTCTATTGGAATAATACCGACTACTTCTTATATGATATCAAAGGTTGTCCAGCAGTTAGAAACTACTTTCTTTTTATGTTTTAAACAAAGTTTTTTTTTTATCAACATCATATACTTAGATCTTAGGAACCCCTTTAAGGGGTGATGAGTTATTTTTAGCTTTTATATATTAATATTACAAATAAACATAAGTACTCACATATATATAATATAATTTTATTTTAGTTACTGATTTTTTATATAAATTACATACAAATAATTTTTATGAATAAACTACGTTTTAATTTAATCATAGTTTAAAAGATATACATTTTATTAATCCTTGGACCTTCTCGGCCGTCCAACTTTTCCTTTCCTTTGTCCTAATGCTCCGTTAGAGCTAGCGGGATTTTTAAGTAATTTATGCCAATCTTGCTCGCACACTAAACTAGCTCCCAACATAGTGTACCTTTAAAAAATGATAAAGAAAAAAGATTAATTTGTATTACATACATTCGGTTACTTCAAACACACTATGAATAACTTTAATATGTGCCATACTAGGACGTATAGCTCTTTTTATTTATTTATTTGTATGTTCCCTTCTCACATGTCCAGAAAAAATATAACAAGTAAAAAACCTAAAGTCGGGTGTCCCGACTTTGAAATACTCTGTACATATGTTTACAATAATTATAGAAAAAAACAAGTAAAAAAGCTAAAGTCGGGTGTCCCGACTTTGAAATACTCTGTACATATGTTTAGAATAATTATAGAAATTAAAAAAGTAAGAGAATTAAAAAAAAAAAAAATTTGATCGATTTTACCTCTTTTGGTAAAATTGCGATTTGCGCGGGAGAGGGGGAGGGAGGGAAATTCCAAAATATACATTTTCTGCGTATTCCCACAAGGCATCTGGGACTAAAATTTGGTGTTCCTAGGTCTTATAGTCTCCGAGATATAGGCGATTATACGAATGGAAAATCGGGAAAACCCCCATAGGGGGGAAGTGGCGGGGGGAAATCAAAAAAATAAAACAAACTCGTATAGAATACACACATAAGGCATCTTTGTGCAAAATTTGGTGTCTCTATCTCTTATAGTCTCTGAGATCCAGGTGTTCATACGGACGGATAGACGGACAGACAGGGCTAGATCGACTCGTCTCGTCATGATGATCAAGAATATATATACTTTGTGTGGTCTGCCACGCCTCCTTCTACCTGTTACATTTTTCAGCTCCCGCAAACTATAAGACCAAATTTTAGTCCCAGATGCCTTATGTGAATACGCAGAAAATGTGCATTTTGGAATTTCCCTCCCTCCCCCCTATCCCATGCAAATCGCGATTTTCTCTAACTCCCGTAATTCTTGGAATTTCGAAATACCCCCAGTTGGTTATTATGTGTCCGTATGCCAAGTTTCACTATGATAAACCGATTTAACGAGAAGTTATAGCCATAAATATATTTGCTGCTGCAGCGCTGCTCAAGCGCTGCCCGCGGCTGTTGTTGATGCTAGTGCTTTGGTTGACTGCTAACATGTTTACTCAGACACGAATATACTAGCATATACATACATACACTCACATATACGCAATTGCTTTGTATATGTGCAATTATACACCCTTTACGTGAGTTCGAATACCAAAAGTGGTAAAATCGATCAAACATTTTTTTTAATTCTCTTACACCATTATCAGTTCAAAAGCGAGGCAGTGCATCGGAAAAAAACACAACTCTGACCTAGACTAGCTCTAGATGCCCGTCCGTATCAATAATTTGTCTCGCCTTGGTGATAATTGGACTGAGGACTGGCACGCTCCTCTGGACACCTAAGCAAGATCCAATACATATACATACTCATACGTCATTATTCTGTCCTTGTATTGACATGAAGAACCAGTAAATGATTAAAGCCACTTTACATGCACACACTACGCTAACATTACCACCAAACTTAGGATTCATTGGGCGATCGAGATGCTGAATCGAAAGGCATTGCAATACACTTTTAGATAAAATATCAAAGTTTTTATTCATTTAGATCTATTGTAAAACCTTCAAAGTAGCCATTAGGCTGCAATGCACATATGTCAATGTTTTTTTTTTAATCCTCGAGTCAGATCGAAAAAGTCTGATTTGGAATGGTATTTAGTGACTTTTTCTATTCGGCTTGAGTCTCCTCAATTGTTGTGGTCTTTGTAATTTATAAATCAGGCGAATACGGTGGGTCTTGATTTTTGCGAAATAGTCTCATATGACTATGCATTGAATTTTGTAACAATCAGAAGGAGGCGTGGCAAGCCAAACCAAACATATATATTCTTGATCAGCATGACGAGGCGAGGCGATCTAGCCCTCCTACTGCCTGTTACATATAAAAAGACTTGTTGATATCGAAACACCAGTTCGAGTTAAATTCAAATACAGGTAATATTGGTTTTTGTTACATAAATTTCCAAGGGTACGAAAACAATTTCAGCTTGCTATACAGCATCCGTAGCGATAGGTTGTAAATTCGATTGTGTCTTCAACTTTTTTTTCATTTTGTTTTATTTATTCATGTAAATAAAAAGTACACTTATAAAAACTATGAACATGTATGGTTATTTACCTTTTTTGATTGGAATTAATAGCATTACAAAGAAACAATGTACGAAAGCAGTCCGAAATGTTTCTAGTCTGATAACAAGTAAAAAAGCTAAAGTCGGGTGTCCCGACTTTGAAATACTCTGTACATATGTTTACAATAATTATAAAAAATAAAAAAAATTAAGAAAATAAAAAAAAAAATGTGATCGATTTTACCTCTCTCGGTATTCGAACTCACGTAAAGGGTGTATAATTGAACATTTACATAGAAATTGCGTCTGTGTGAGTGTATGTATGCCTATGCGCATCTACTTGTATCTGTGTAAGCATTTTCGCAGTCAACCAAACAGCAACATCAACAACAGCCGCGGGAAGCGCTTGAGCAGCAGCGCTGCATCAGCAAATATATTTATGGCTATATCTTCTTGTTAAATCGGTCTATCATAATGAAATTTGGCATACGGACACATAATAACCAACTGGGGGTATTTCCAAAATTTTAGTTCGAAATTCCAAGAATTACGGGAGTTACGATTTGCGTGGTAGAGGGGGGAGGGAGGGGAATTCCAAAATATACATTTTCTGCGTATTCACATAAGGCATCTGGGACTAAAATTTGGTGTTCCTAGGTCTTATAGTCTCCGAGATATAGGCGATTATACGAATGGAAAATCGGGGAAACCCCCATAGGGGGGAAGTGGGGGGGGGGGGGGGTGGGGGAAATCAAAAAAATAAAACAAACTCGTACAGAATACACACATAACGCATCTTTGTGCAAAATTTGGTGTCTCTATCTCTTATAGTCTCTGAGATCCAGGTGTTCATACGGACGGACAGACAGACAGGGCTAGATCGACTCGTCTCGTCATGCTGATCAAGAATATATATACTTTGTGGGGTCTGCCACGCCTCCTTCTGCCTGTTACATTTTTCAGCTCCCGCACACCTAATATACTCTTGTACATTTCATGTACAGAGTATAAAAATAAGAATTACGAAGGTAACAACTTCTTCATTCAATGCAAATTTCCCCCACGCTTAGGGAATAAAAACTAGCCACTTGGGGTCTGCAGAGTAAGGAGGGAGCTGAAGCTGTACAAAGCGTAAAACATTGATTGCATTTGCCGTTCAAAAACAAATCTCTTATGACCGGCTGATATATCGACGTAGTAAATGAATTGTTGATCGAAGAAGAAGCGGAACCCACGAGTTACAAGCAATATATGCTTTTTTAGAATAATGGGCGGATAAAACGCAAGCATAAAAGAAAATATATGAGTTGGATTTATTAAAACAACTAATTGTAAAATTTGTTTGTAACGGAAGGGTAAATATGGTTCAATTTTGGTAACACCCAGAAGACGGGAATATCCCATCCAAGTTGAAATTTAATTTCGGTTCACCCTCTCCCGAATTCGAGGCTCTTGCGGAAATATTTAAAATAGCAAAGTGCCAAAGTGCTAGCAAACTGCGAAAGCAACAGAAATGCTGAAATGAAACATACATACATACATACAAACATACAATTTTGATTCCTTACAAATGTACATATTATACCATTTGGTTTATTTTTTGTTTTTGAATAAAATTTTTCTAGAGTAGCAACGACATTTTTTATAAAATGTTTTTGGATTCTAACGTTTTATTTTAATTTATACGAGTATGTCTTACGAGATTTATATTTGTTTGTTGTTACCCTTTGTTTTAAGTTTAAAATAAATTTTTAACATACCTATCGCCAGGTCGCAAGTTTGATCCACATTTAGCGCAACTAAAGCATCTCAGATGAAAAACGCAGTTCATTATTTGTTTTTGTTGATTTTGTAAATCGACATTATTAATTCCAGTAAGGGCTTTTGCTACCATTTCACTAGGCGGAATAGTTTCGCCACATCCAGAGCATACTCCAGAACATCCAAACAAACTGTGAGCAAAAACACATTGGTTAAAAGTGTGTATAATATTTATGATAAACTCTAAAAAAGTGAAAAACGCATTAAATAAACAAAAACAAGACAGAACGCTACAAAATACAATGTACTCTCTTAAAAAAAAAACAAGTAAAAAAGCTAAAGTCGGGTGTCCCGACTTTGAAATACTCTGTACATATGTTTACAATAATTATAGAAAAAAAAATTAAGAAAATTAAAAAAAAAAATTTTTTATCATTTTTACCTTTCTGGGTATACGAACTCACGTAAATGGTGTATAATTGCACATTTACATAGCAATTGCGTCTGTGTGAGTGTATGTATGCCTATGCACATCTATTCGTGTCTGTGTATACATGTTAGCAGTCAACCAAACAGCAACATCAACAACAGCAGCGAGCAGCGCTTGAGCAGTGCTGCAGCAGCAAATATATTTATGGCTATAACTCCTTGTTAAATCGGTTTATCATAGTGAAACTTGGCATACGGACACATAACTAACTGGGGGTATTTGCAAAATTTCAGTTCGAAGTTCCAAGAACTACGGGAGTTAGAGAAAATCGCGATTTGCATGGGAGAGGGGGGAGGGAGGGAAATTCCAAAATGCACATTTTCTGCGTATTCACATAAGGCATCTGGGACTGAAATTTGGTGCCCGTAGGTCCTATAGTCTCTGAGATATAGGCGATTATACGAATGGAAAATCGGGGAAACCCCCATAGGGGGGAAGTGGGGGGGGGGGGGGGGGGGGAATCAAAAAAATAAAACAAACTTGCACAGCGTACATACATTACGCATCTTTGTGCAAAGTTTGGTGTCTCTACCTCTAAGTATAATTATTTAAAAAAATTTAATTAATTAATTAAATTAAATATAAAATATTCAACACAGGTGTTTATGTACAATTTCAATAGTTATTATTATTATATGTGTGTATGTATGCAGCACAAAGTTGAACCAAAGCAGCAACAACAACAACAGCAGCGGGCAGAGCTTCGGCACAGATTATATTTAAGGCCATAACTTTCTTAATAATTCACCTATCATTATGAGACTTAGCATATAGACACATAATCACTATCGGGATGTAGTTACCAAATTTTAGTTTGAAATTCCAAAAATTACGGGAGCTGAGATCCTTGCGTTCATACAGACGGACATGGCTATATCGACTCGCTTTGTCACAATGATCAAGAATATATATACTTTGTGTGGTCTGCCACGCCTCCTTCTGTATGTTACATACATTCGCAGAAAACTACAAGTAGTATACCCTTTGGGTACAGGTTATAAAAATGCGATAAACGCATTAAAGATTGGACTGAAAACAGAGACAACAATTTACTGAATCCATTTCACAATTATTTTAACTCTCAAATAATTTTGCACACATTACTGACTGTCGACGCTCACATTTGACTAATTCTGTAAAAATCCTGTAACGCACTCAGCTGCCAGCAACAGTTGACTGTCGACGAGTACATTTGACCGACTAATTGTGTTTAAATTCTGTTACGTACTATGTTAAATAGAAAACAAATATGGCATTTGCATTAATATTAGTCCACCAGCATTTGCGGAAACGCCAATTAATTGTTGAAAACATATAACACAAATGTTTAAGAAGCGCATCTGGTCCAACAAAAGAATGTTGCTTATTAAAAATTAAATTTTTTTGCATTTTTTATAACACCATTTCGATTTTTTCGCAATTACGGGGTGTACTACCATAAATTGGACGAAAATTGCGTCCTGTTGTGGCGATATATGTTTTGCAAAAATTATCATTTGAAATTGAATTCAGAAATTACAAAAATTTACATACATTTTGTTTCTCTGGTCCGTATTGTATATTCAAATGGCCGTTTTTGACCATTCCAATTTTCGCTCACAAACAGATTTACCCAATCAGCGACGCACAATTTTCGCCAAGTTTGTTTAATAATTACACAGTTACGTCCATTATATATTTTATTTTTAACTTTCGTTTGACTCAGAAATTTAGACTTGACTTAATTCAATGTAATGTTCTATTTAGGCCAATGGGGCATCTCTATTGTGCGGTTGTTTTCGATGCTATGTGTGAATGCTGGTGTTTATAGCCTGTATCCAAAGGGTGAAAAGCTATACTAGTTTTGGGCGAATGTATGTAAAATACAAAAGGAGGCGTGGCAGACCCCAGAAAGTATTATTGATTAGGATGACAAGTCGAGTCGATATAGCCATGTCCGTCTGTCCGTCTGTCTGTATGAACGCAACGATCTCAGCAAGTACAAGGCAAGAATAACCAAACTTGGTATTTTGTTTTTTTTTCTGATACAACCCCCACTCCCCCGCAATTCATGTTTTTCATAACTCCTGTAATTCTTGGAATTTTGAAATTTGGCATATACATACAGTTAGTGATTATGTGGCCGTATGTTAAGTTTCATCATGATCGGTCAATCCTGAAGCAAGATATAGCCGTAAATAAAATCGCTGCCCATGCGTTGCCTGCAGCTCTGCCCGCAGCCGTTGTTTCTGCTTTGGTTCAACTTTGTGCTGCATACATACAGGCATATAAGCACCCAGATACACGATTCTGATGTAAATGTATGCTGTTGAAACTGTACATGAACATGTCTCAACTTTTGTATATATGTATGTATTGAATAATTTGTAAATTTAATTAAATAATTTAATTAATATAATTTTTTAAAATTGATTTTAATTTTTTGTTTTCATTTCTTCCTTTTTGGCTAGTACAGGGTTTTTAAGAGTTGAGCCTGCTCGACTTTAGCATTCCTTTCTTGTTTAAGTATACATTTAGTAATTTGCTAAATCTCTACTACAATACTTATTATAAAGCGGAAAGATTTGATTGTTTGTTTATTTGTTTGTTTGAATTGAAAAGGCTCCGAATCTACTAGACCGATTTAATGGATTATTTCAGTGTTGGGAAGCTACACTATCGACGGTTAACATGGGCTATATTATATTTGCAAAATGAATGGAATCCTTACTAAAACGCCAATAATGTAACCAAAGGTGTAAAAAAATTTGCTTAAAAAACTCCTGAATAGCATGGTGTCCATTCATAATCATCTTCGAAACATTATCACTTTAAATATTAAGGCAATATTATTTAAAAGCCTCCAGCCAAATTAAAAATTACAAATCGATCGACACCGTGATTAATATTGAAGACATTTAAATTCACTAAACCCTTCTGGACTGCCGCCACATGAATTGACGGTAAAATTCGGAATTGCAATCATGTTTTTTAGAAATTAAAGCCTTCCAAGCATGTGCAATGGGACGAGGCTGCTAATTAAGGAATTGCAGGACAATTTAAGTGTAGCAATTATTATCAACGGCCCAGAAACTGGTCAAGTGGCTCATATAACGAGGATACCGATGATCCTATTTGATCATTTATATGGCTTCAATTTCCGGTAGTCCCAAGGCCAAACCTTCGAATCAGTAGGGATCGACATACGAAAGCAATGTTTTACTGTATGTTTACCTATCACGGGTCGGAGCTCCTGAAAATCAATTTACTTGTATTTTGCTACCAGAAAATAAAACATCAAATATCTTTTACAAATATCTTTTTAAGAAATAAAGAATAACAAAAAAATCTAAAAACGAACAAAAAATCTTGAAAATAATAATATCCAAAATAAATTTTACTCCTTAGTAACTCATAGCAAAAAAAAGGGTGCATGTGTGTTAAGTGTGTGTGTGTTATAAAATGTATAACTTTTAAAATGTTTGTAAAAATACCCGTGCGAAGCAGGGGCAGGACGCTAGTTAATAATATTTACGTAGGATATGCAAAATATTTTTGATGCAAATTGGTTAGAAAAACTATAAGTTTCATATTCCAATGAATATTTTTATTTGGAAAAATGTCTTTGTTAGTGTTTTTAATCAAAACTCCTGGAAAAGTAAACGAGATGAATCATCCCAAAATTCCTTTAAAATCGGCACATCATAATGAAATTTGGCATACGGTATGATCACTAACTTGATGTATTTGCCAAATTGAGTTTGAAATTTCAAGAAATACGGGAGTTATGGAAAATAATTGATTGTGGGGGAGAGGCAGGGAAATTCTAAGAAAACACCACCAATGTGTTCATACGGACAGACAGGGCTAGATCGACTGTACTTTTCGTGCTGATCAAGAATATATACTTTGTGCGGCCTGGCTCGCAAACTTAATATACTCTTGTATATTTCAGGTACAGAGTATAAGAATCCAAATCGTAAGAGCTAAACAGCCTCTACCTGTAATGTGTCATTTTAATTTGGTCAACCTGGGCTCAGGTGTTTATATAGATCGATTTAAATCGTTATGCCGACTAATAATATACATACATACAAGTACTTGAAACGTGATGTTGAGGATGCATCTTTCTTCTATCTGTGACATGGAAACCTATTACGCCATTCTTTCTCTTCAAATCTTGTATCCGTACAAAATTCAGCCCTTTATAAACATCGCTATATCTTTTGGTGCATATTATTAACATTATTATTTTTAGGCAAAGATAGCGGGATAATAAAACTTGGTTTCCATATTCTCCAAGTCCCAACACGGATTTTTTTTTTTAGTGATATTCTGTAACTCAAATTTTCTCATTATACTCTGTACATGAAATGGAAGGTGGAAAATGTAACAGGCAGAAGGAGGAAGTATATACACTTCGCGTCATCAGGTTAGTACACCTCTGATTTTAATAGCATAGTTAGTTAAGTGGCTTCAACACCAACATTTCCCCTGATCTTTGCAATCGATTCATGAGAGTTGGATGCTTCTCTCAAAATTGCTGTTTTATCAGCATCGGAAATCATTTTACCGCACTTTTTATTTATACCATATCCCGACATTTTAAGTAAGAAATTGAATATAAATTTTCCACTTCTGCCGACTTATTATGCTATTTCAGTTATTGAAAGCTTTAACTCTTGACTTTAACTTGAGCAGTAAAGAAAATTTAGTTTCAATACCTGTTCAAATTCCGAAGACAAATGAAATTGCATGTGCTAACCTGATGACGCAAAAATGAAGCACCCTTTCAAATTTGAAGTCCAAGATGCCTTATATTATGCCTCTACCCCGCAAATCGTGATTTTCTCTAACTCCCGTAATTCTTGGAATTTCGAACCCAAATTTTGCAAATACCCCCAGTTAGGATTATGTGTCCGTATGCCGATGATAAACCGTATGATAAACCGATTTAACAGGAAATTGAATTCTCTCCAGTTAGTGTGTCAAGTTTCATAATGATTTAACAGGAAGTTATAGCCATATATAGTATATCATCGTTGCCCAAGCACTGCCCGCAGCTGTTGTTGTTGTTGCTGCTGCTTTACACAGACCCACGAGACATACAGACACACACAAACACACATAGATACGCATGATTATTCTACACATATGTACAGAATATTTCAAAGTCGGGACATCCTTCTCCACTTGTATTACTTGAATTTAAAAAATGTATGAAACGTTTTTTGTAAAAACGAGTACGATGGTCTTAAGAGATAGGCATGCACGGCTCTAACTTTTTGTATTAATTAATCAAAAGTTGTACATAATTGATTGAATATTGTATTGAAAAATATTAATTGATATACCTTGAATAATCCTTTTTACATAGTATTAGCCCGCGCCGTGTAAAGCAACTGGAACCAACGTCTGCTAACATAGTTCCACAGCAATGACATTTTAGGCACCCATTGTGCCAATATCTGTCTAAAGCATATAAAAGATATCTATCACTTATTTTATCTAAAAAAAATAATAATAATTAAGAAAACGTATTAGTCTTTGTTAACATGGATCTGAAAAAAATTTTATGACACAATCATAAATAAGTTTAGTTTTATTGAAATCTGTATATCTGTATCGATAGGCCACATTTGTTGATTTAATAAAATAAAGCACACATTTTTTGTTGGTTCCTTATGGTGCAGAATTCCAACAGTACACTGCCGTTTTTTGGACTTAGACCTGCAAATTTGTTGGCAATAAAATTCTTAAACCTAATAAGTACATGAAATGTACAATACTACGAGCCCCAATCACTATTAATTGGTACGGTTAGTTTTTTTTCGATAGTGCAACTTTCAATGACTTATTTTTATTTGTGGGTGATGATTGCACAAACAAATGTATACTTTTTAAAAAGGTAATTGAATTACCTTTAATTTAATATCAAAACATGCACACGGTTCGCATAACAATAATGCAGAAAAACTATTTAAATGAGATAACTTCATAATACCTCAGTAAAATTGATATGTGCATCTGTTTTTTTTTTAAGTTTCTTAGGAACTCTTGAATGTTAGATTTTTACCTTTATTTTTTTTTAATATAGCTAATAGATATTGATACTTAAAAATCCATAAATATATTTAGTATTTAATTATTTGATCAATAATAAGTTAACGCAAAGAAATTTTTCATAGAAAGTTGATATATGTGCAAATGAAAAGACATTCAAATTTTAATTATTATTTACATTTTGAATACAATTTACTTATAGTTTTAGTAGGATATTGTGTTTCCCTTTTGTCATACGACCTATTTCAACCGTCAGGACATGGATTAACTAGCTTTTCAAGGACGATTACGTCAATTTATCGCCATTCCTGGACAATGGCCTCTCTTACATTTTTTAAAAGGTCAAATTGTTTTCCCCACCTAAGAACTTTGCCTGATAGGATGCCCTAAAGATCCTCAATTGGATTTAAATCCGGACAATGCATTAAGGGGATATTTCTTGTCTAGAAAAAAGTCATGCTATACAGTGCAACGTGTATTGGGGCGTTATCCTGCTGAAATTTCCAATCCTATCAATGGAACTCTTTTGGAAATGGTATAAGTTCGCTGTTCAGGAGATCCGCATACATTTGCGCATTCGGCCGATCTGGTATGAAGCATATTGGTAGCTTCCCAAGGAAGCTTAAAGCCGCCCATACCATGTACCATACCGCCATGGTTGCATCTGTGGTAAATCTGCCGGGGATTGCTTATTTCGCGCCAATACTTTTGGTTTCCATATGAGCCGTCTAAATTAAATTTTTTTATAACTGAAGATGACCCTTTTGATTTTCCTGTCCCAAAATTTGTATTTTTCGTAAAGTGCAAGACGGGCCATTTTATGTAGGTACAATAGCTTTGGTTTATGCACCTTGGCGTCATATTGGAGACCAATTTCCTTTCTCCAAATTTTTTGCCACTGTGGCCCAGTTATTTGCATTTTTAATCCTGCCCTAATTTGGGCTCAGCTCATTACTTTTGTGGTTGCCAAAGCTTTTATGCCATAATCAGTCATAGTTTTAGTAATTATTTTGTTTTCTATGCTTAACTACTTTTCGCGGGGCATTTCAAATAATTATTAATTTTAAGTTCGCCAAAACACAACGATACAGCTTTTAATAAGCCTCCAACAAACCTTCTTAACAATTCGATTTTTTTTTTCTGGAGATAATAAGTGTAGTTCAGACTTAAAATGTAAAAGGATAAAATGCACATTTATCAATTTGCTATGAAATGCATGACCTGGGATTCTTTTAAATGCTAACGGTACTTGAGATTAAGAGCTGATAAGAAACGAATGTATGAGAAAGTAACACAAAGTAAAAGAGAAAAAAATTGTATACACAAAACATTAAAACATCTATGAAAATAACAGTAATATTAAATAAAAATTTTGCACATATATCAATTTAAATTTTTAATTTTTGGTACGGCATTATTTTTTTTTTTAAATAAGGCTGTAAAAATATAAAATGTCAATATAAAAATTTAAACTAACCTTATATTAAAAAACATATGCCTTTAAGTTGTAATTTTTAATAAGTTTTCTAATTTTTGAGCACGATGGCACGAGGTAAGCCAGTTTGTGAGTAAGGTCGAGCTTCAAATATAGAAAAATTCAACTTGGGCAACAACTATTGCAAAGTATGCTTTCTAAGTCTACGGTAAAAATAAAGTGCAAAGGTGTAGAAAGATTGACAATATTCACAGTAATACAGCAAACGGAGGTCGAGTCTCGAAAATTACTACACGTGACAAAAGAGCTTTGTCGACTATAATTCAAAATCAGCGAAGATATAGCGGCAAAATGGTCAACAAGTATTGGGAAAACAGTAAAACATGAATGGACGCGACAGAAAATTAAACGAGCTTAATATGGCTTCTTTAATGTATGATTACAGCTCCTGCTGAACATAACAAATAATTTTGATGTTTTTAGGCCAAAGAAAAACGTTTGCTCACAGCTTTGCCAATAAAAGACGACTGCTATGGGCAAGAGAAAGACACAACTGGGCACTAAGGCAGAGGAACTCTATTATTTTTAGCGAGGAATCTAAATTTTATGTGTTTCTCCATGATGCTCAAAAACGAGTAATACGAAAGCGTACGGACGCATATCACAAAGATTGTCTTAGGCGTGCAACCAAGTTTCTAGCAATCACAATGGTGAGGATGCATATTAGTCAAGGGAGTGGGAAACTTGACTTCATATATGGAGCTGTACATGCAGTAATTACAAGGTTATCGTACAAGGAAACCTCATTTCACAGCTTTGTGACTGTGGGGAATACTTTTCAACACGATGTTGCATCTACACACCCCGCCGAAACAACCGTTATTGTTTTGATATGAAATTAAAGGTAATTCAATTACCTTTTTAAAAAGTATAAATATCTTTAGGCAATAATAACCAAAAAAAAATATAGGTCATAAAAAGTTTCACTATCGAAAAAAACGTAGCCGTACCATTTAATATTAATATTAGAGAGACATATATGCTATACGCAGTACCAGTTTGTTTTTTTTTTTAACACAACCCCTCACTCCCCGCTTATAAGGGACTTTCGGAAACGCCGTCCGTAAATTCACCCATATCTCGGAGACACTTAGGGGCACCAAATTTTATTCCATGACGCCTAATAGGAATTCGAAAATTATTATTTCGGAATTTCCCTACCTCGCCACGTCTCTACCGCAATTAGCAACTTTTGATAGCTCCCAAAATTTTTGTAGTTTTTAAATCAATGCTTTTTGGAAATGCTTTCAGTTAGTAGTTATGTCTCCAAGTGATTATGTATGCCAGGTTTTATCGTGATGGGCCAATTTTTTAAGGAAGTTATAGCCTTAAATGGAATCTCTGCCCAAGCTCTGCCCGCAGCTGTTGATGCTGCTTCGACTAATCATGCAAATAATACACAATCATCTCCAGCCAGTTCCAGAATAAATTATCCGCTTGACTACGCATTAACGCAAGATCGAGCGCTTAAGTTTCCTCTTTCAACTATCTAGGCTACATAGTTAGTGAATCTGAAGGTTCCGAAAAAGATATTGGTGCCGAATTAAATAAGGCAAGAATGACCTTCGGGCGCCTAATTCACCGGCCAAAAAATTCGTCTTGAAAAGGCTATGAATTGTTCTATACACATACACAGCCGCCTCATACACCTCTTACAACATCAAAAAGTAATGGCAAGGTCGATATGTCATCAAATTCCAAATTCCAAAAAATAACATAAACTGGTCCTTTCTCGGACCTAGGAGAATTTGGATGCCAGCTTTTATAGTTTTAGAGATCCTTGCGTTCATCCAGACAGATGGACGGACGGACATGTCTAGATCGGTTTCTCTCATCAGGCTGATTCAGAATATATATACTTATGGGCTTCTGCATGTTACATACTTTGCACAAACCTAATATACATAAAAACATATTTCTATATTTTGAAAATCGTTGAATGCCAATTTGTAGATATAGTTATGTTGATTACAGATAACAAATTTGAAATCGATAGGTAAACATTAATAGCACAAGCGTTGTATTTGAAAGTGAAGAAATATAAAACCCCAATAATTCAAGCTCCAAGGCAAATTTCAAAAAAGCGAGTAGGAAGTTTTTTTTTGGTATTTTTTTTTTATAGATTGTAAAAACAAAATTTGAAGTTCATCGGTGAAAAACTGAGGATTTTTCAAACAAACTTTAGAGTCGTTTTCCCCCCTTTGGGGCTCAAATTTTCTAAATCTGCCAACCAACGCTATGAAATGATACCTGAGTCTAAATTTCAGCTTTCTAGATCTTACCGTTTGGGCTGTGCGTTGATCACCAATCAATCAGTCAGTCAGTCAGGACAAACGGTTTTATATACATACCTTCTAGTAGTAAATAAACAGATAATTGTAAGCACAAATACTGAGCTAGAAAAGACGGGCAAATCCTGCTAGTATCTTATATACATATTTATTTTGTGTGTTCACCCCCCCCTTTGGAGCTCGAATTTTCCAAAAGCCTTTCTTATGAAAGGATACTTCAGTCCAAATTTCTGCTTCCTAGTCAGTCAGGTCAAACTGTTTGATATAAATAGAGATAACGCAACGTTTTAAGATAGACTATGTGCAAAAAAGGGAAAGAGTATATCCTAATTTTAAATTCACATTTGTCTTTTCGTGCCTTATTGAATCAATTCGAACACTCACGAACTCGGAATATGAAAAACGGCACTCGTGTCATGCAGCGATCAATGCTGCACTGACAATGCCCATCTCAATTTCCTAGAGTAAAACTTTCGATAAACTTTCAAGGAATTGTACAGAACCAAATTAAATAAAAATATCTCATACTTGAAAATCGGTTGTTTATTTTCAAGGATATTCAATGTTTGCATACCGACATAAAAGATGGCGCATCCTGTATGTACATACATACATGGATGCACCATGGGTTTTGTTTTGGTTCTCTTTACTGTTTTAAC